ATATTTTGTTCTCGTAGAACGCGAACAAACTGTGCAAACTTTGTATTTATTACATGAGTATGTTCTGCCAACCAATAATACATATTTTCAATACACAAATTTAAAGTTAACAAAAATGTAACAGTGGGTGGTTTCATGTATAAACACTTATCGTTTAATGTAAATTTTACAACTCGTGCATCGCGAATAATAACGACATTTAGCGCTAAATCGCGTCAGAAATTCTGCAAAATATGCACTTTTGTTTGCCGGATATCAAATTTCATCGATTCGATCACATATTAAAGTAACATAATCCTATATTAAAAAATGCTGATAATAGCAAAAAGTTGCTAACTGCATATTCGAAAATAACAATTGTGCAATCGCTATAGATGACTCATAACTTCTGCAAAAAAAAGCACTTCTGTCGGATATCAGATGTCATCGTTGTTATCACGTAGTTAAAAGTATATTTTGCAAACATTGCACTTTCTTTCGTGTATCAAATTTCAAGTTTGAAGTTTATTCATGAAAACTATTATTTACATGCATCGTATATTTCCGCGGAATAAATTTACGAAATTTTTGTATTTATTTATGTTGTATTTGTTTTATTTATTTTTATTATATTTAGTTTGTCTTATGTAGTATATATGTATATTTATAAGGAAAGTCGGGAATCGGATTGGATCAAAGGTTGCACANTAAAAAATTCATAATTGTAAAATAACAGACAATTTACTCGTTTTCATCATATAAAAACAAACTGTATAAAAATTTATCAAAAGATATAAAAAAAGATATAGTATAATAAAAAGATATAATATAAAAATATAAAAAATATATAAAAATATAAAACTACAAGTATAAAAAATTATACGTAATATTAATAGAAGATATATGTGTTGTTCTTTTGATCGTATGTAGTATATAGTTATAAGGACAGTCGGGAATCGGGGGTGGGATCAAAGGTTGCACAGTAAAAATTCACAGGTGTAGTATAAGAGAGTATTTATTTGTTTTGATCATATGAAAAACTTGATAGAAATCTAACAAAAAATAAAAGATATACAATATAAAAACTATAAACATATAAACAAAAAGTACAAAATTAAACGTAATAAAAAAGGCGCGCGCGCGCGCGCGTATGTGTGTGTGTGTGTGTATCTCCTGGCACCGAGGACATTTCTGTAACAAGACACATATATAATTAATTATGCAATACACAATAGTATACTTTTTATTTTACTAATATAATGAGTACTTTTTACCTATTGTGTTTCCGGAGATGGAGGAGGAGTGTTGTTGGACATGTGAATCTCCCCAAGTGCAATGTTCAGTTCTTCTTGAATCCCCTCTACATGTTGTACCTCCATTTGGAGAACTCGCGTGATATCCCCGATGATATTGTTGACTATAGTTCTGAAACAGAACAATATAATGTATACTTTCTAAAACTAGTTAACCGTACGTGATAGTTGTATAAAGAGTTAAAAATATTATTGATGTACTTACAAGTTGGGGAAGATGACTGCCAGTCCACTCAAATTCGGCCCTTTCATCTTGCCGTACAATCTCCTCCATTGTGCGTTGCAATCGGCGAATCTTTACCATTAGCGTATCCACCGTGTTAGCTAGGATACATGCCGCCGGTGCCACTGATTCGCCGATCTCGTTGCATTCTCGTACAATGTCCATGGTTTAGATGAGACTGAGTAGCAGTCATCAAGCAGCTCATCTTTTTATACCTTATTCTTTAAATGTATTTAGAATCTGTGTGTCTTTTCTCGCGTCCTGAAGGATGATGAACTTTTATCAGACTGCTACGTTTGTACATGGTCTATCT